AACAAGAGGACTTTTGAAATCTAACTGAGGTGGTTTGGCTTGTTAACCTTTAATTTTCGAGGTTAATATTTACGCCCAGCCATCACCCACAAGGCGAGGTAAAGATTATTATGCACATGTCATGATATGTCTCACCACCACAAGCGCGTCTGTAAATCTCGCATTTTCGCTTTTTGACAGTGTCTACACGATAGAAATATTAGGAAAAGAACAACAAACAAACTGTATAACGCACAATATATTCTTGTATCAATAGGATCACTAAACTGAACTTGATTTGGCTTGAATTTCTTGGCGTTTCAAGCTTGTTCCTCCCCTTAATGCAAAAGGTCCTTCAGCTTTGTTGTCGTATTATGAAGCCCATTAGTAAGGCCCTTTACTCTTAGAATCCAGGCCCGTATATACAAAGCTAAATTAGTCCGTGCATTTTTTTTTTCATTCGTCTTTGGTATGTAACGGTGTTATAGACCTGCGTATTTTCAAACGTTTATTTTTGCCATTCTACACTAATGCTGTACGTGTCGCCAAACATTAAGAATATGTTCACTTATTTTGAGCCTACGCGTAAAAATAAAACTTTTTTTATATCATATTCTATTAGTAGACTAGACAAGACTAAACGTAATTCCGCCTTGCGATGTACCACGCTCGACGCTCCACCGTAGCCGATTCGTAGCTCGGAGGGTGTCACGTGAATCTTCTGTTGGGCGGAGCGACGCACAGAGTATGAAGTCACGTGGCACGTGTGGAACAATGGATTGACTAAGGTGGCTCGTAGTCTCCCTTAATATACACAGAATGGGAAACCAGAGCATAGAATAAAAAATGTTGCTCCCAAGAAAAAAAAACACATACTTTTTTAAATGTAACGCCTGCTTAAAAACTTTGTACACCGAACTTAGAAGTAATTTAAAATGACGGAGACTCGCGTGGTCATATTGGCGTTTGCTGTTGTATGTCAACCAAAAAATAAATAATTACCGTTCTTCTACATGTTCTAAAGAATTCAAAGTAATTCCGATACGACGTTTGTTTTATTTTTTTATTACCTTCCTGTATATTGATGTTCGATGCGCCTCGAACTTACCTCATGTTGTTATCAAGGGCAGCCTTATCTCAAGATTTCGGTTTCAATTAAAAATATATTTTTTGGGGGATCCATCACAAAACATATCAGAGTGTGTCTAAGTCAACAGTAGGTACTTGGATTAAAGAGGGGCGAATATAATTTCTTGAGTTGCTAAGGCGCTTAACAATGACCAGTCCGTACGTGGTGTCGTCAATTCAAGCCGCTGCAGCCGTTAAAACGACAACTGATAATATTCTTTGTCACGGGACGGATTGAAACCAAATACGTATGTTTTCGATTGGACGAGCATTATATGCTGCGTTGACGTGCTACAAAAATGGTTCAGATTCGTAGGAAAAGAGGGGTAGGGTTCTAATCATCCTTTAGCGTTTATTGTTACTGGTGAACAAGCTCTCCAAAAGCTCTTGGAATCTGAATTGATGGGTCATGCAATTGCCCATGGAATTGCGACACAGAGAGACAGCCTCTTCTCTTCACGTTCATACTGCGTTCGGCTCTTTCCTGCTTGAAACGATTTCATAAGCGACTACGCTTCCAGTGGGCAAGTGTGCTCACGTAGCACACCTCGTCTACGCAAAAGCTTGCGCCTAAGCCATGGTGAATTCCGTTACCGCTCCTTCCGGTATCTATTCGCATTCTCCAACGATTGGAGGGGGCGCAGGCGTTCAACCGAATCACGCCTTTATTCTGCCACCCTCCCTGGTGAATAAATTGGCAATATATTCAAAATCGCAGTTATTTTCACAGGGCTGGTATTTACGGACATTTAAGAATAAGGTCTTATACTGGGAGTGATACTTATCGTGTGAATGAGGCAAACGCTTCTTTGAGCGTGACAGATGTTTCGACCAATGCCAGGTGGTTTGTTGCGGAAAAACAAAGTGTAGCTCATACCTCACGCATTCCTAGATTTCTACACTGTGAATGCGGCGTGGTTTGAACATCGCTACACGTAGGAGTTTTGGCTGTCTTTGTTCTGTCGCAGAACAGAAGCAGACGGCTGGAGAACACTGGACGACAGGTCTGCTGCAATGAAACGCCTTTATTGGCAATCGCTTAGTGTTGTTCGATGAAATCTTCGTGGTGGGGAATAGCTACGTCGCTGGAGAATGTGAATATGAGCGGATATTAAGCGGATCTGAAGTTTTGTGTTTCCTCATTGCGGAGCACGCCGTGGACTCTGTAATAGGAATACTATGCTGCGAAGTGACACATCTATGGAACAGTACCACAAGTAGCCTCATTCCTAGACACGACGACTTTCTCGCTGTATGCACAGCAAATCTCACTAGGACTGTTTTCTATTATGTTGTCGAGGCCAGCTTTAATCTCGTAACACATGATTCTAACCGGCGATGACGGACGACTAACCGCACAAGGGGCAAACAAACACGTCTTGTCCTCTTTGTTGTCCGCAGTCTCCAGTTAGAATTATGTGTAACGTCAACCAGCTCGCGCGTTTAGTAACCTTGCCATTAATATCCTGCTGGCAAAAAGGAAACAAAAGTCACCGAATGATTGTTCACAGGTAGATTCCTTCTCTCCGTTCTCGTAGGGCTGCCACACTATAAACAGATGACTTCGGCTTTTCTAAGGGGCACACTGATGAATTCCTGCCTGCATTGAGGAAATCGAAAACGAATCATTGGTTTTCCCTTAATCATCTTAGCCACTGAGAAGGGCGAACAAGTCGCGTTCCCATTTGTCGTGTTCTATAGAGCACAGAACAACTTCCTCTTCTTTTGCCACTCAAGCGATAACTATTCAAGTACGATACTGGTCACCCTTCTTATCAGCTGAGCCGATTAAGAGAAATACAGTGATCAATGTTCCGAGTGCATTTTGCTTCCGTATACCCTTAAAGATTTTTGAGAGTGTACTGTATAAAGTTTGAAGCGTTTGCGCTTAAAAGGAAGACGCATTTACCGAAACAGCGACCCTGGTGGCTGATCTCTAATTCAGACAAGTTAAGGCGAAAATTAAACGAGACTACGCATGCCTCATCGACAATTGTAACAGCGCACTAACAAACGCGATTCGAAACCGATACCATGGAGTTTATCTGCTTAACGGACTCATTCTATCCGTTCTAAGAAACAAAACGAAAATGGCGCCATTTTGACTTCCAAAATTGGGTCTGAAACGTGCATCCTGGCTGTCCTGCCGTTGTGTTTTTTGGACTCTATTTAGCCATGACACGAAATTTACATTCTTAACCTCAGGATTTGTTGATGATTGTTGATATTGCTATGGCTTCCATGGAGTGCTAAGAAAAAAAGTTCTTTCTACTTTATAACATCCGTCTTCTGCGTCCAACATGTGGTAGGCAAAAGAGAGCATATTATATCAGAGATACTATAGTAAGGGTGCAGGCCATCTGGTGAATGTTAGCCATATTGAATAACCTGAGACTGGGGCAGCAGTGAACAAATAAGTCGAAGGAACAGAAAAGCACAGGACGACGTCACAAACTCAGCTCATTAGAGATGACCCTTTTGTGTTGTTGGTGGCTGACTGTGGGCTATATAAGGAGGTGGACTAAATAAGCCTGTTAGCTGAGTTTGAGACGTCGTTTTGTCCTTTTCTGTTCCTTCGACATTATTAGTTCACTTTTGCCCCAGTCTCAGGTTATTCAACATGGTTAATATTATATCAGTATGCTTTTCAAGGGCATAAAGAACATTCGAGACCTAATTAACTATGAACGTATTTCGTTGCATGAAATAAAAATAACAAAGTCTTATTAATAAAGCTACTAAAACGTTGGGTGCCCCGAAATTTAAGGAAATAGGGATAAACACCCATTTGTGCCAACCTTAGCAGTCGATAAACACTTGCTCGGCTTAAGCTTTGGTATTGGGTGTTGGACTGCAACACAAGGGAACCGATTCGATGCCATTATATTTTTAAATAAATATTGTTTAAAATGAAGTCCTATTACATATTCTCAAATGAGAGACAACAGGAGGGAGCAAGAAACGGCAGTGTTTCGATTCGAGATGAAGAATTAATATTGTTTTAAAGAAAGGCAACACGTATGCATGTTTCTGCTGTCGTACTTTGCACAATAAACTGTTGCGGAAGTTTAACTGAAAAAATTGCTAAAACGTGAGCGAACTGGCGCAAGTTTCAAAGATTGGCCTAAAAAGGATCCTTCTTCCTTTCACAGTCTACACTTTTATAAGACTCAAAGTTCACGCTTACACGAGACTCACTAAAACTACCAATCGTAGGTTACTCTTAGATCAGCGTATCTAACGAGAAGAGCGAGCGGTATAGCGCCCGCATGGTCATTCCATCTCAGTGGAAAAAAAGGCGTCCCCCAATCTTGTCTCTGAAACTGTATTAGTTTTGAAGCATTATTACTTTTGACTTTATGATTGAGTAAACTCATTAAATAAAGAACAATGATTGGCGATTCGAGGGCATCGGTCTAGAGTATATTTTCAGTAGTTTCAACAACTTATGGCTCAATATGCAAGCTCGAAGTTCAGTCTCGCGCAACTGGGTTCACTTTCTAGGAACAGCGTTTAGGCTAAGTTCTTGTGAACGAAAGCCTGCCAAGTCTGGAGCACGCGAGCGCTTGAGAAGCGGCTACACGTGCCACCTCTCTCGTGTGCTAGTCGTGGCAGTTCTTTTCTTCACACGATCTTAGCTAAGACTATTTCTAGCAAGCCAGCCCTGGTATCGGATTTTTAGAATGGTATTGCATGCGATTTCAGAGCGTCCTATACACAGTCCTAGCAGAGAAAACAGCCGCCTTCAGTGAAACAAGTCACATTCGGTCGCCGGGGAGTTAAGTGCCTCTTCCTTTGACAGAAGCGAAGTGTGCATGCATCGAAACGTGTGCGAGCGATGCGCGGGCCCTGACTAAACCTGAGGTCATGTTGTTGTTGTTGTCTGTTTGCAGGACGTCCGCCTTGCAACACATGCTATGAATGCCTTGCAGGGATGCGTACTGTTCTCCTCAGATCGGGGTGGAGTCCGTATTGAGTTCGCCAAAAACAAGATGGGAGAGGTGAGAAGGAGACGCCACGCTCCCCATCCCCCTTTTCGGGGAACCTTGCTAAAGGCCACCCTCCCTCCCCGCTCGCCGAAAACAAACAACAGGTCACGGGGGCTCTCGCATCGCATCGTTACGCTAGGTACGCTACGCATTGTCAGAATATGAGACTGCACGTTGGTACTGCATATCCTGACGATCATTCTGTAAGAATTCAGCCGACACTTTCAGAAGTCGCTGTTTGTACAAATACTAAAAAAAAAAAAAAAAAAAAAAAAAAAAAAAAACGTTATTGCACGTGTCCCTTCTCGCGGAGCGCGGTGCGGGTCATTCATTGCGATCCATTGATTGCATCTAGCGGTGGACGAGATTCAAAAGGCGATTTGCTTGAAAAATTAATTTGAGCAGAGACAATAAGAATCAGTTTACGTAAATCATGTTCAAACGCCAAACCATATCTTTGCGCCTACTTACTCAACGCGCTCTCGAGCTCGCGATGATTGGCACGCCACTCAGTTTACGGTCAAGCTGACTGGCAGACGTATGTATGTTTGAGCGCACTGCATAGGGATCCTACCGGAATACCAATATTTGATCTTCCTTGAATCAGTTAGGTGGCTGTGGAGAGAGATTGGTACCGTGTTTTTGATAGCAATAAAATTTCACTGGGGAATAAAGTGGGCGCCTTCTTTGCTGTTGAGACTGTGTGACTTTTGAGGCGCGATTTCCCTCTGCCCTTCTCCTCAGCTAAGCTAACGATAAGAAGAACAACAATTAGTGTTCCTAGTGCAATGCTGGGAGGTGTACAACAGTACCTTCTGACGGCGTGTGTCTTTCAGAAATGGCAGGTGGCATTCGTTTTTATGCGGTAGACGCCCCGAGCAAAGCCACTTTATTAATAATATTTCTAAACATTTATGTGAACCATTGGTGCGTCTCATATTAAATGGCGGTAAAATCACTGCATCAGCGGAACAGAGATGAAACAACCATTTTGTTTTCTGTACATTTTAGAACGCGTCTTTTTTTCAAGCAATGCGAGAGCCCCAGTAAAATTCTTCCTTGACTAACTCGGTGGTTTGGCCCTTGTCTATTTTTTTTTAGATCCCACACGCTCTGCCTGTTTGAGACTGCTGAAATACTATCATGAACACCAATCTAGTCAATACTACTTCATTTGGTATTGCGCCTAATAATTTGATAAGCCTTTCTCTTTATGACATTTGACATAACGTCGCTGAGGCTAACTAATTGATTAGTTGTCACTGTAAGTACTGTATGTAGCATGCCTTCTACGTTCAATTGGAATAGAAATTTTATTGTCCACGGGAACATTATATTTCTATGCGCATAGGACGCTGGGAATACCGGGAGTTGGATGACTTCTTGATGTTTGTTTCACTCAATGCAAGAAAACCAACTTTGTTTTCTTTGTTCTTGCCTGTTTTATGGTGCCATAATATCACTGGAGCTAAAGTATTTAGTGCCTTTATTTAAGTAACCGTATTTATGTTTTTTAGAAAAAAAATTGAATGCAGAGAAAATGAATGACAGGATAAATGAATCCCCGAATCTATGAGGGCCGCAATTAGCGTGCTCAATGCGCTCGGTACCGTGCTGATAAGCTCTGCCTTTTCCGTGCTCCGGTGACGGGACCTCTGTGAACCCGTTTGCCACTTAATTTGTAGCGATAACCAAGTTTGATGTTGCTGCACACGTCTATGTTACACACAGAACAGTATGCATCTGTACCGGTTTAGTGGTAAGCCTTATAAGCTTCGACTGTCTTAATTTATGACCGTTGCCTGCAGCCCGTTCTCCGGCTCAAGCCTGCTTCTCGTGTTCTACTCACGTCGTCTTCCTTTCGCGCTACACATGTGTTCATACGTTTAGGTTTTGATTACCCAGCTGGAAATGACAGAGTAATTAATTTGTAAAAACATATTTTCAATTAAAAACTCGCTACAAAATGTTTGATTTCTATAGTTTTCGTTAACAATAATACAGAAAGCCGGGAAACCAAAACAATCGTATTTTGAGTATGTAGTTTCAGTGCATTTTGTATCAAGCGTAGTAGACTTCTTGGGTTTCATATCTGACAGAGCTTAGAAACAAGTTGTATGTCGGCCAATAGATGCTGAAGTAACTTTGGGGCTTCACATTGAAAACAACTATGATTGTCAGCGACGCAAATATTTGCTAACATACTATACTTAACTGAATAAAAGCAGGTTAAGATATCAAATCCGTATGCAAGCAGTAATAAAAGTTCATAAAAAAGGCACGACTGCTGAAAATTGAGGGAAAACATATCGCTCAAATTACTCTTGGTGAATGAGCTCCACGTTGCACTCGAGACGTATAATAAAAATATTGGCAAGAAAGGTTTATGCTTGCGAAAATATTATATTTTGTAGAGGAAATTTGTAAACGCCTTCATTTACTGCACCAAGCCCACATTCCCACTCGAACACAACATTCTTTGTGAGATTCGTGTTATGTCACAAGAAACTCGGGATCATTTAAGTTTACCAAGAATTAGTGTTGACTCAGAAGAAACTTTTTAGGACTTTAATATTTTGACTAAATACGCAATTTTATTATCTGTGCAACTATAACACTCATGTTTTAGTGGACGGCCATCCCAAGAGTTAAACTCGGCGAGCAACAATGTTTTACAACAATGAGTTAGGAGCTGTTCTCCCAGCGATATGAGAATTTAGGTAGGGCCTTTTGGTGAGGGTATGTGACAAAATTAAACATTATTTTGTTGATCTCTAGCTTGCAACGCAATACTATTGACGAATGAAGGGTGCTAGTGTAATTTCAAATTTCGAAAAATTTTCCTCTTATGCTAAGCACTTTTCGCATTTTAAACACTGTTTTTAAAACGCGTATTAAGACGCCTTTTAAAGCTTAGTGGAAGCATACCTATAAAACTGCCTATTGGAACGATTTGGAATCTACTTAAAAGAAGAGATATGATAAAATTAATTTCTAGGAACCTATTGTTAAAAAAAGAATCAGGCAAAGAAACACACAGAAAGGGCGCTGTGTGTTTCTTCGTCCTGGTCTTACGTCTTTTTTTTTTGCACTGTTCCCACCAAACAATGTGTACCACCAACTAGCCCCACATATACCTTGTTCCAGGAATCTACAGTCAAAGAGGAAAATGACATAGAGTTTCTCAAATTTTACAAAAAAAGTTTTATACAAGTGGTCGCTAATGGGCATTATACATATGCCCTCAAATTTGTGTTTCTTGTGCCTGGTAATTTGTGCCTTGTAATACATTTATATATTTCTATTTTTATTTTTATACACCAAATTCAAGCTAATTAGATTTTTTTTAAATTTTAAGCTCTGACAAAGTGTAATGTAAACAATAACCATGTTTTCTTAAATTGATAAATATACATCACGTGAGACCTTTGAAGGGACCCATAAGAGACTCTTTTACAGGGTGTCACAAAAGAAAATTTACACGGTCTTTTTTACCGCAAAAATAAACCAAGCATCGCCGAACGCTCATTTTCCACCCAAAGGTAGCGCTAGAGATCACAACCAGATGCCAAAGTTTCAGCCCGATTCAATAACCTAATCAAAAGTTATAAGTGATTTTCTGAAAAGTTCAATGGGGAAATGGCGGCCGACGGAGTTTTCAAACACATGGGGCTCTATGGCACCAGAAACCGAAAACGGGCAAAAATAGCCTCCATTTTCCCATTGAAACTTTCAGAAAATCACTTATAACTTTTGATTGAGTTATCGGATCGGGTTGAAACTTTGGCATCTGGTTGTAACCTCTAGCTCTACCTTTGGGCGGAGAATGAGCCTTCGGCGATGCCTAGTTTATTTTTGCGGTAAATAAGACCGTGTAAATTATGTTTTGTTACACCCTGTATTATTGATGTCTTGATGCCTGAGCAAACGCAGCAAGCACAATACACCTCTCTACATAAGACATAGGTGGGAGAGTCGCAACATTTCTACAAAAGCAAAGCCCCAAGATGTGACTCTTTGTGTCTGTTCTGCGTGTGTCGGTGTTTTTGCACTTTAAATATTGTTAAACATTGTTCTGTTCATGACCGGCTAATGAACGCCAAGCATTAGCTGCATTGAACTTATATTTTGAACTGAGTACTGTATCGCGAATTTTATTGATTCTGATTGTTTTTGTCTTTGTAGGTTTCCCGTGAATGAGGATCTTGAAAGATCAAGGAAAAGATACAAGATGTTTTAGACGAGTCTGTATGTATACATCTTAGACATACACATGTATACATGTAAACGCCCATAGTTACAACAACTAAATGTTTGATTTAAAATTGTTTTCCTCGCGCCTTTGAATAGTAGGTATGTTTTGACTGTGAACTTCAAGTGTGCTGCTGCCTTCAATTGTGCAACTTTGAAAACAGACACACAAACACTATGTGCGCATTGTGTAGAGCTGGTACCTGTTTATGCGCCTACATGACATCAAGATATACAATCCACCAGTAATTGAGTGATAGGTGCCGTCACTCTGTATTTGTCGTTTCAAGGTTTTAGTATTAATTTAGTAAGGTGCATCATTCCGCCTTTACTAGAGGGCATTAAATTGTTCCAATTTGTGATTTATTTGAACCAAAAGGATTTAACTCAAACTGAGTCACCTGAGATGTTGAGCGCTACACGTTGTGGAGATGCATTCGGTTTTTTGTATTTTTCTCTGTCTTCACATGAAGTATATTCCAAATGTGTTAAGACTACAACAGTTTTGGGGAATTTTAGGAATGAAATGTTCGTGCCTCACTTATTGCCCTTTTTTAAACATCCTGTTCCAGACGAAATATATTTTAGTCTCCATCATTCCCCGAGTTAGTATTCATTCTTTTAATAATTATTTTGGAAAAATAGATTCCGTGTTTCCCAAAGAATTTGCAGGTCGTAAAATTGTACATGTTTATTTTGTGCGATTTTCATAGACGCATTGATTGCCAAAGATATCTATTGCATTTTAATATTTTGATAGCCTTAATTTGAATTTATTAGTGCTAGTCATAATGTACAAATAATATCTCTGATATTTATAAACAACCAAATTTCTTTTCGACTCTGTCATTTCATGGATGTTTCATAGGTCTCCAAAGAAAATGCTTTGTATTGTGAGTTCTGTCATTTCATTTTTTCTTGTTATTTTCTGTTTTATTGATTGTATGTTTCAGTCAAATCTATATGCTAATATAATCTCTTATGCCGTTTGATAATTTATATTAGATAGTATGGGTTGGGGTTCTTGTTACATTCCATTTATAAACTCTGCCATTGACTTTGATTTGTCGCCTGGTGAACATAAGTAATAACATATATATAATGTTCCTGAAGCTTTTATTCTAGCGTTTGACCTCTATTTATGCCTATTTTTGGCGCTTTTCAAGGTGTATTATTTTTTCAATTTTTATAATACACTTGTTATTTTTGACAACATTCCGGAATTTTTGAAGTTTCATATTCTTTGAGATTTTGAAAGTTCGCTTGCTTTTTTCAGAGGTTGTGCTGATTTATTTGCTGCTTTTTGCTTGTTTTCATGTTAAACATAACCTTCCTTGTTTTTGTGTATTTTAAGCTACTAAATAATTTATGTACTTCCTAATCGACGTTGTGTCCATTCATTGTGCCTATTTTATTATGTTTCTTGGAATATATGCAATGAAAGTTGTTTTCTTATAAACTAATATCTTGGAAAATGCTTTTACTAAATTATTGGGAGAAAACGCATAGCAACTTGCTCACATCTGTTAAATCCTCTTCAATTTGTTTAAAAAATTTCACATTAAGATTCACTAGTATTTCTTTTCTGTATCAGGCAACCTTATATAATACATATCAAGATTTAAATATTTTGCCCGGTTTTTAAACAACTATTGAAATAAAAAAGAATATTTCCCAGCCAATCCGAGAACGTTATGGGTTTTTGTGGGTGGGTATTAATGCATATATGGTAACGAAAACGCATGTGTCGGCAGGTAAAAGTTCTGCGTGGCGCTGTTACATAACCAGAAGCTGAAATCCTATTTTTCACATCCTTTGATAATCCGTTTTTCTCAATGTTTTAGCATAGAATTATTCTGTTACTGATTTTATGGAAATATCTCCGCTGTCGTGGTTACAAAACTTACGCTCTTTTCCGCCTTCTGCTATTCACAATTGTGGATTGTTGCACTGACAGTCGTAATTCATAATCAAGCTTCACAATGTCATCTATACTGTTTTTCGCTTAAATCTCACTCAGAATCTCGAGTGAAGGTGAAGCTAGCTCTTTGTGTAGTGGTGTGATTTGAGAAGTGAGCTGAGATTGCATTTAACAAGTAAATACGTTTGCTCAACAATCGCACATCTTAGCATGACGCTGATGTTTGGAGCTGTGTCTTAGAATTGTCCATTGGGTTCAGATTAATTTGGTTCATCGATTATTTTATATAGTAGAGGCACTACCATTTCCTGCATGCAGTGGCTAGTAATAGGCAGGTTTTCAAAGCACACATTGATTGACTGCTATACCCTCACTCCTGCATTTTAGTCTTTAGACTCAGTATACACTATAGTCATGTAAAAATATAAATTGAAGGTTCATTGTAAAGTATCTGATGGCATTGTTTTTGACAAGACCGTTGCCTCACAAATAGGATATCTTAAAAACTGAATTTCACAGTTTGAAAATAAATATTTGAGCATCAGAGGCTGAGTACTGATTTACCCGCAAGATTTAGTGTAATTTTTTTACTTTAATATATGTATATATTGATTAAAAGAGCCATACACAGTGCATGCCATATTAATTAACATGAATATTGACCTCCAGTTCAGTAATAAAAAAGAAGTAAGACGTTCTCCAAATAAGATGGATAACCCATTCGTGATACTGTAAGATAAGTTTTTGCATGAATACGGGCGTTTCACTGAACTTTTAAAGTATGCAGCTATGCAACTATATTGTTCGCTATTGTGAAACATAAAATATGCACACTTTACAGACTTTTATTGTGGCGCATGAAGTTACCAAGATATGCAGATAAGGTTTACTACTAAAAAGCGCATAATAATGCTAAAGTTTTTGTTACTCATTCAAACACCGAACGTTGCTAGAAGAGTTCGTTTACTGAATAATGAAGTGAACATCACATCTAAACATTAAGGAAGCTTCTAAGCTCCACGGTTCTATTTGAAAAAAATCGTCACTTACCCGAATAATTGTGAGGATAATTTAAACGAGCATATAACACGGTGTGTGACCTCCGACTGGAAATCGGCAAACTTTTTTTCCGCCCATCGTTTCTCAGTTTTAAAGATGGCACATACATACATAACCACTGGGTTTGTTTTGAATGAACTGAAATATGAAGCTGTAGAGGGAAACTGATTACTTAAAACAAATTTGGCAATATTCAAATCACTCATCTGTCTTTTGAATTCATGATAGAAGTTACTGTCAATCGGTTTTCAAGGACAAATTGCAAAGGAGTGTGCAGTTTTGTTTTCTTCGGCACACTTTTATTCCTGCCGCACGTTCTATTTTTCTTCTTCTCGAAGGCCAGTTAATATAAAAGCTATTTAAATTTATTAAATATTACTTTTAAAATAGTAAAGTTATCATACGTGCAGTGTATGTTAGTTGTCCCCTGTGGTATGAAATTAAAATATACTAGAGTAAAACAAAACAAAAATATCTTTTTAGCCGTCATGCATATTTTCTTTGTGAGAGAAATATGCAATCTTATCTTTGAAATCGACAAACCAAGGTGCAGCAGGTTTCGTGGGACCATTTCTTCAGCATGAATTAATACGGGCGCATTATTACAGGAGAACATGAGGGCAGAGCTAGTTCCATTTTCGATTAATTGTGCTGGATATTGGAGCTTGGCATTAATGCTGATTGATAGCGAGAACACGCATGAGTTCGGGGTGTGGTTCGTTTTGTATATCCGCTTATTCGAATGCTCCAACTTCAATATCTTTAGATAAGCGCTGACCTTTATATATGCATTTGTGGAAAGAAATCCATGTAAATGAGTGTCTTACAGAGCGACTAAATGTTCTTCTTAGTAGCAGGTGAAAGCATCTACTATACCGCCTTCGGTAATATCATATAAATAGAATAAATTTATTTTAGATACAACATCCTTCTAATCATGAGAGAAGGAACGTAAGCGCTGCCTTTAAATGAGATTTACTGATCTCAAAAAGGCTTATAATTACGTTTTTTTACGATGAGCGACTGTTGACCTCTTGGCAATGTAGGTAATTTTTCTTTGAATCTAAGAGAAAAAAAAGACACATTTTCAAAAATTCGTTTATATGAATATGATTTTACTAATTATGAACCAACTAGCCCGCTATTCACAAATGTTGCGTCTTTATTATATTCTTGAAGATATTATGCCGCCAAAGACTTTAGAGAGCGTGATGAACTGCCTGTTAGGCGGAATACAGCGCTAATTTTAAATTGGGTTGGGGATGCGGGCTAGTTGGTTCATACTTAGTAAAATCAACACAACGCACAAAAAAAAAAAAAAAAAAAAACGATAACGAAGTAAACGAGGTCGACGAAGAAGGCTTGTCTACACTCTTGTACTTCGTCTTCGTTTTTTGTGTGCTGTGTTGATTTTACTAGGTTAATTTTGAACATTTGTCTTTTGGCTGAGAATGTTTTCACAATTAACAACTAATATTTGGCCAGATTGAAGATAACGTATGAAAGAAACGGAACATCTAGAAACACTGTCATGAGCCAAGTTAAAAGCACCTATTGAGCGGTGAGCTTGGTTTCGTTCTTACCGTAAAAAATAATAAGCAGTCGCATTTTTTTTCTAATGCAAGTATCGTCTGAAGTGAGATTGCCATAATTTGGTAGGAATTAATCTAACATCTGCTAAATTAAAATACACCATTGTAAAGAAAATGAGTTCTGAGCATCTTGGTGACGATCTGACTTGAGCAGTTTGGGAGTGGGGCTCATTAGATTTGTCGTTTTTACTACACATCTTTTTTTTTGTAACGGCAAACTGCCTTAATGCCGATTTAGGCGATTGTTTCGTCATATCAGCCTTGAATTTCTAATTTGTTTTCCACCCGTGGCGTATTTCAACTGATGATAATAACAATCGTTGTTGATTTGCGTTTAGCCAATGAAACACAAGTCCCAAATAAAAAAGTCACGCCAAGGATTCGTTGACGATTACCTATTCTATTCTTAATAAAACGAAACTTACGCTGACATCATTTTCTTCGATAGACTGCTAACGTTATAAAGAAAAAGGAATCTGTCAAATAGAACTTAACATTTGATGCAGTATTTCAGTAGGTCTTAAGATGCATATCAGAGATGAATTGTCATTGGATAATATGTAATGCCTGCTTTAGAGAGATTTGTGTCACAATATGCAGCCAGGAATCTCTTGAATGTTTCTTTCAACTTAGAAATTAGTTGTAAGGTAAAAAAATGTAAGTCTGAACGTTTTGTGCGTATTTCAAACAAGATAGAATGACTCCCAATAACATTTTCTATCAGATTTTCTAAATAAATCTAGTGCCCCACAAGTAATACTGTAAATTTGTTCCCGAATTGTAGGCGGTAAATTGGGAACTTGACTATGGTTTCTTTCCAGAAGCAATAGCTAGAACAGAACCCATAATAGGTCCAGAGATAAGAACCTCGCTTCTATTCTGTTATATAAATGCAACGCCGCGGATAATCAGAACAAACACGCAACGCGCTTTATAAACTTTCAATAACTACATGTTTACATAAACAATGTTTGAGCACAAATAAATTAAATTATAAAAGTAACTCCAGAAAAATAAGGAAGACGCAACATTAAAATACTCAGCATGTTTGTTCTCTGAAGCTGCAGGAGAATCTCATGTGCTTAATTCAACTAAGAAGTTTTATCCGTCAAGGCTAGATGAAGACGTTGCCTCTATTTTTTGTCGTTCTGACCCATATTCAAATTTCATGTTGTTGAAAAGATATCGGTGGTCGTTTTGTGAAAGTAGAGTGAGTTTTATATAATATTTGTCATTCATGTGAAGAGATCATTTTGATCTCACCTTCGACCAGATGCAAGTATGGATCTGTGCGTATATACATTTAGAGTGAATAAACGGCTAATGAGCCTGAGAATGACACATATCATCAATGCACACGATGGGGTGGGCCCGCGTTAGTAATAACGTTGTGTGCAATTACTCGTCAATAAAAATATATTTCTTAATGTCAGAAACATTGATATTTTGCATGTAAGCATCTCTTTATTTAATTGTGTAAAATGTAGAAGGTGTAAATTTTTAAAGTGAACGACCTCGAATATCACAGACTCTTGAAAATCAAAATTGTAGTGTTGGTCTACGTCCTAACGAGCTCTACCGATATCTTCAGACAGTTTGTTCTACAGCGAGAGGTAGCGCACTTGTTATGGTACTACACTCCACATGGTTGCTTGGTGGTTGTGTCAAACCCGTATTCAGCTCGATATCAGGCATAACTTTTTTTTCCCTTTTTTACTTTCAACATTGCTCTTTGCTAAAAACCCGCAAAAGGTATAGTTGCGTACACCAAACCAAATATATTTTCAAAA